CGGGAGGCGATTTATATTACGTATTTTTCCGATGGAAGTTAAATCGCTTTTTATTCAATTGAATTAGATACTAATGCATCATATTAGAAACACACTCCCCGAAATAAAAGCCAAAATTCAAGCAGTTCTCGCAAAATATCAGACTGAATTACAACAGCTTGGAGATCCTTTAGAAGATGGTTTCAATAGTAATGCCAATATTGTTCTAAATATTATCACGGAATTTTGTACAGAGTTTCGTACGATCATTGAAGGCAAATCCGATGAACTTTCTTCTTTTGAGTTTATTAGGTCTATTAGTTGAGCGTTCTCCCCATTTTTGGTTCGTACGATCATTGAAGGCAAATCCGATGAACGTTCTTCTTTTGAGTTGGCTGGCGGTGCACGTATCAGTTTTGTCTTCCATGAGGTGTTTGCGAACGGTGTAAAAACAATAGATCCTTTTGATCAAATAAAAGATGCAGATATTAGAACAATAATTTACAATGCATCGGTAATTTTTTTCTTTAATTGATTTCAAAACTCTAATTAAAAATATACTTTGTTTTAACAATACTTAAATAATTATTTTCAGGGATCTGCACCCTCTCTCTTTATTGCCTCAACTGCTTTTGAAGTGATCATAAAACAACAAATTAAGCGTTTAGAAGAACCTAGCTTAAAATGTGTGACATTAGTGTATGAAGAATTGGTTCGAATTTTATCACAATTGCTACAAAAACAGGTTTGTAAGCTGGAAAATAACAAAGTTGTTTTCTATATTTCTGAATGTATATTGTAATATTAATACTAAAATATTCTTTATTTTATAGTTGTTCAAGCGTTTCCCCGGACTAAAAGAAAAATTTTATACTGTTGTCATTAATTTTTACAAAAAAGCTCTGACACCGACGAACAAACTTGTGCAAGATCTTGTTAAGTTAGTAAAGAAAGCAATATTAATTACAAAAATTTTGATTTTTCACTGATCGTATCCTTTATTCAATAGCATGGAATCAAGTTATATTAACACTGGTCATCCAGATTTCTTAAATGGCCATAAAGTCATTGCAGCTATTAACGATAAATATAACCCAAAGCAAGCAAATCCTGCAGATCCAAAAACAGGTCGTGGAAGTATTAGCAATCTTACCAATTCGAGTCCGCTACCAGATACCGAATCACAGAATCCTGGGTTCTTTGGAAGTTTCTTTGCACCAAATAAAAAAAAGAAACCTGGCGTCATGGAAGCTGTATGGATTAATAAATTATGGTTAATATAAGTCTATCTATCAATATCAGATAATAATTATATCTTTATTTAATCAGCCGCCACCAGTCTTGAAAGCGTCAGGAAATCTTTCTGAGCGAGAATCTATGGAAACCGAAATTATAAGTAAATTATAACAACATAATTATTATATATTGCAACACAATGAACTTTCCTTAACCATCTAATTTGGTTTAATTTATCTTAATATAGAGACGCTTATTCAATCATATTTCAACATTGTAAAAAGAACTATTGTCGACATGGTTCCAAAGGCTGTTATGCTTAATCTTGTTTCATATGCCAAAGAAGAACTCCAACGGGAACTGTTGCAAGAACTGTACAAAGCAGAAGTTCTTGATGAATTACTTAAAGAAAGTGATTACACGCAACAAAGGCGAAAAGAGTGTAAAAAGATGATTGAAGCCTTGCAAAGGGCTGATGAGGTAAAATTATTATAGTGACAAAAATATTGCTTATTATGTAATAATTTTTGTTTTAATTAATACCAATATGATTTCTAGATTGTCTCGGCCGTTTAAATTATGTTTGTTAACAGTTTTTTTTCAAAAAAAAAAGGAAAAATATTTAAAACAGAGGAAAATTAAATTCGGCATTTAGGATTAAGGCAAGAGGAAAATTAAATTTGGTATTTAGGATTTAGGCAAGATAATATTATTATGTAGACTTCATGTATTTTTATATATTGTTATTAATACTGAACAAAAAGTTTACGACACTTGTAGAACGTTGATCGTATATTTGATAACTCGTGTTGTATTTATTTTTATGTATTAATTCAGGAAGATCTTCGGCACATACATTCCTAGTTAAATAAATTTTCGTGATGTTTCATATTGTTTATAATTTACCGGAGGTTAGATAGATTAGTTTCTCCTGGCGATGAGTTTTTATAGGCCAATAAAAGAAATATCGCCAATTATAAATATTTACGATCAAAGCTATCTAAAGCTAGGGTTGATGAATTTAGAATTTATAATGTATTAATTGATAATATAAAAAAACCAGTACTCCGGTCCCGCTTCAGGAACTAAATATCTTGTATAATCATAATGGTCTAGTCAACTGTCGGACGGAGCCGAGTCGTTTTTTTAGCTAGCCGATCAAAAGCTGTCAGCTACGTATAATCGTTATCAGTCAGGGAACGTCACCTATTAATATACGAGTGATATTTTATAATAAAAACTATAACAAAAATATATAAAACTACTATAAACTTTAAGCTCCAGATTATTTTCAACTTACATATTAATTTCAAATTTTGGAGTTAAGCATATCGAAAATAGTAGATTAAGATAGCCTAGAATACTTTTTAAAATTTTGTAAAGTTTTCTTAATTTTTTTTAATTTTGAAAATGTAATTATATATAGGATTAATAAATTTGTAACCGCGGTTATTGTAACCGCACTGTGTAGCATTAAATTAAGCCAATTAAATTTCAAGATCAGGTGTAACACAAAATCAAGACAAAAACTATTTTTT